TTTACCCATTCATACAGCTCTATACTAGATCTGTACAAAGATAATTGAACAAATCATTCTAAAGAGAATAATCAGAGCTTTAGATCATGTTAAGATATTTTTAATTTAGACTGGTCCTATGGTTTTGATCTGCTCAGAGACGGGATTATAATGAAATCATGACCCGGTTCTGACTGGGTTAAACTGGGCCAGCAGCTCTCAAGAGAGTCTCCCTGGGATTTCAATATCAGTCAAATAGTTTAATCTGCTTTGCCACATCATGTAGAAGGCTTTGAAGCACCGTCTCATATTTCCTAACACGTCAGTCCACATAAGATCACTGACATCACACTTAGCCACGCCCCCTCATACACTGACGGGTTGAGCTCCCGTTCTGTGAAGGAGGAGTCCAGGACCCTATAAATTAGTAATGACACGAGACATCGCGGCTCTTCTTCCAGGTCTGTGAACGCGTCACAGACTGTAGAGTCCAGCGCTGTGAATTGTAATCTTTTCCTGCCTTTTCTAATATAATTGATAAAATTTAATTGACGTTTCCTTGATTTATTGATTAGTATAGTTGCCACTTCTGAGGGAGGTCCGAGCTGGGGGTAAAGACATGGGCTAGAGGGGGTTTCTGGATCCAGTGGTCCGCAGTCAGCTCCCGTCTGTAACAATCGCATTCATACACCGATGGGACACACATCAGAGGCTATGAGGGGTTCAGTGTCTTGCCCAGGGACACTTCAGCATGTGACTGCTGGTGGATTCGAACCCCCAACTCTCGCATTGGAGGACGACTGCTCTAACCACTCAGCCACAGCCGCCCCTGATTATTATTATTGTGATAACCTCTCTAAAAACACGTTTTGACCATTTGCTTCTCTGGAGCACACAGGTGTGTGTGTTAACACAAAGCCAAGACGGAAAGACATCAGCAATTTAGAGAAGCAGTTGTTGCCGTCTTTCAATTTGAGAAGGGTCAAAAATAATTTCCGAACCATTTGGAGTCAATTATTCTACGGAGAGAAAGGTTATTTGCAAAATAAAGAACAGCTCCCAGGAGTAGACGTCCCAGCAAGTTCACCCCAAGATCAGACTGTGTAATGCTCAGAAAAATGAGCTCAGACTCTAAAGGCCTCAGAAGGTTAAAGAACAAATCCAATAATGGTCAACCCCTCCAGATAGAGGACGAAACGTCTTTCCACAAAATAAACTGTCCCGATGACCTGATTGACCATTATTGATTTTGTAGCTGGATGATTGAGCATGAACTCTGAGGTTGAAGAACAAAGTTCACTTGAAACATGCGTCTTGTTTGGAAGGGCTGCAGCAGAACGGCTGTCTAAAAACAACATGACAGCACGACTTGGTTTGGAAAGTTTCATCTGAAACAACAAGCAGACTTCTGGAATAAGAGAGACCCCAGTAGACGTTTACCCACACAGAAGTATATTTGGTGAAAACCAAAACCTCAGACCAGACGACTGCACGGTAGTGCAGGACTGATGGTTTGGGCTCCTTGCAGTTGCGTCAACCATGAACTCCTCTGTAGACCAAAGGGTTCTGGAGTCAAATGTGAGGTCGTCAGTCTGACAGCTGGACCAAACTTGGTCCAACAGGACAATGATTCCAAACACAGCAGCTAATCTACAACAGAATGGCTCAAAAAAGAAAAGAATCAAGTTGTAATGGTTCAGTCACAGTCCAGAACCACAACCTGATTGAACAGCTGTGGTGGGACCTTCAGAGAGTGGAACAGAAACAAAAGTCTGCAAACCTCAAATCAAGTGAAGCAACATTCAAAAGAAGAGTGGGACAAATTCTTCCATAACACGAGAGACAAACATCTGTCATTAACTCCATGCAGACTCTCTCACTGGTACATCTTCATCTTTAAATCACTTCCTGGTCTGCTGCCTTCATACATCTCCTCCTACATGTCTCTGTGTGAGTGCAGCTACAGCGTGCGCTCTCAGGACATCATTACCTGCAGTGTTCCCTCAGTGAGGACTGAACTAGACAAAAGGACCTTCTCCTACTCCGCTCCTGTTTCCTGGAATATCTTGTAAAAAGATCTGAAGCTCTCGACCTTTGACCTCTCTAAGTGGCTTTAAGAATCTAATAAGTTCCTGCAGATGTTCCTGTTTGTAGTTTTCTACATCGTCTTATAATCTAGAAGGTTTTCACTACTTTTCCTTTTAATTACCATTTTATTTTCACTTGTTAAAATAATTTAAAAAATAATTTGTATGCCTCTTTTATGATTGTCCATTGTTTTTTTCATTCGTTCAACCTTTATTTGAACAGGTTAATCCCACTGATCCTCCAGGACTCATTTACAGGAGAGACCTGAAACCACTGTTGCCATCACTCTGTTGAAACCAGGTCTCTCTTGTAGATGAGTCCTCGAGGCTCAATGGGACTAACCTGTTCAAATAAAGGTTGAATGAACAAGCTGCTGGATCAGGGGCAGTTTTTGCTCACAGTTTTTCCGTGTTGCTTTAGTTTGATAAATGTCACATGACCACAACAGCACAGAGTTCAGTGTGTGATCTTATGTTCCCGAGGCTGCAGGTTTGAGCCCCGGTTGTCTCAGGAAGAGCGTATAACGTAAAACAATTACAAATGTTTTAATTGAAATTTGTTCCCTGTGGTGACCCCTGCAGGTGATTTATTCTGTGGTTTACTTCATTTAAGATTTAATCTAAAAAAATTAAACATGGTTAACCAGACCACTTCTATCCTAATGCATGAAACCTGTAGTGAACCAGATGACCTCAAATCTACCAGATGGACAGAGACTGTTATTTCCATTGATCTGAATAAGTCTGGGCCATCTGATGACTTTCTTTCTTGAATTAATCAAGCAGAAAAGACAATTCTTTATAATCATTACTGTCTTACAAATGTTTTGATAATCAAATTGTGTTAGTTCACTCAATGCTTATAGGTTGAAAAGAACTACTCATCTTTATTTTACATAAACAGTAAGTAATGATTTTTATTCCTCATTCAGAGAAGAAATCACCTGAATATGCCTTTCTTGATTTTCTGTCTGAAATGAGCAAGTCGTAAGTGTGTGAAAGTTGAGGCTTCGGTCAGCTAAATGTTTACTGAAGAAGAAATGTCATGTTTAAACTTTTTCAGAAGATTACCAAGAGTAGACTCCAAAAAGTCTGCTGCTTCTGCAATAATCTTTTCTGTATGTTAAACAAGTTTCATTCTCTGACCTCGACTGTTGATAAACACCTTACGTCAAAACCACTCCTCTTTCTGGTCCTTCCACGAATCAGAAAGCTCTAAATTGAACAGGAAGTCGACCCAAATAAAATGTGGCAACTTTCCAGTTCATGTTAGATTGAGAGTTCTGGAGAACGTGAGAGTTCCAAGATTGAGAGTGCAGTCGGTTCTGAAAGCTTCAGAGCAATGAAGAATCCAGAGGTTTTTTGGGGATTATAATTCTGTTTTGAGCTAACCACGCACGACTCTCTGAAGGTTTGGTAGCTCTCGACGGAGACGCTGAAACGAGTCAGAAAGGAACTACTCCAAGGCTGATTCATCATCAACAGGTAGATGGTTCTATTTTGACCAAGTGTACCGTGAGAAGCTGAGATCGGACGGAGCGTGCAACTTCTGGTCAAACAGATTAAATTCCCTCACATATTTCCTCTGTAAGATAAATCTCAATTTAATCTTAAACTCTTCTCTCTCATAAATCAGTACAGATATTTTTAGAAATGTCTGAAGCAAAGTCCTCAAATCACCGCCGAGTGATTTGAAGTTCATTTTCTGTGAAACTGTCTGTTATTATTTTCATATTTTGCCAAATTAATGTAAATGTTTGATGTTAAACTTTGATTTTGAAAATAAATGATTCCATTCATTTGATGGGTCAAAGGTAATAACGTCTCTCGTTCGCATTCCTTTAAATTCAATGCACGACATTACACAGTCAGAAAAATGAAGAACTCGTGAATATTGTATGCATATATAATTCATATATTTGTCATACAACAAGTGACACGTACCTCACGTGACTCACTACAAACCCATTAATTCAAAGAGAGCAGACTTTATTTTCTCTATGACTAAATACACTGCCTGGCCAAATAAAAAGTCACCACCAATAAAAAAAGTCACACTAATATTTGGTTGGACCACCTTTATGTTTGATCACATCATGCATTCTCTGTGTCTTTGTTTCGATAAACTTCTGCAACGTCACAAGATCTATTTCATCCAGAGTTGCATTAATGTTTCACCAAGATCTTTCATTGATGATGACAGAGTCTGACCACTGCACAAAGCCTTCTCCAACACATCCCAAAGATTCTCAATGGGGTTCAGGTCTGGACTCCGTGGTGGTCCATCCATGTGTGAAAATGATGTCTCATGCTCCCAGAACCACTCTTTCACAATTCAAGCCCGATGAATCCTGACATTGTCATCTTGGAATATGCCCGTGCCATCGGGGAAGAAAAAATTAATTGATGGAATAACCTGGTCCTTGAGTATATTCAGGTAGTCAGCTGACCTCATTCTTTGAGCTCATAGTGTTGCTGAACCTGGACCTGACCAACTGCAGCAACCCCACATCATAACTCTGCCCCCACAGGCTTGTACAGTAAGACACATTTCTTCCTGGAAGACGATGGGTCCCCACTGTCCTCCCAGTTTGTAATAATGCGTTGGACAGTTCTTAACCCAGTTTTAGTAGTTTCTACAATCTCCTTAGATGTTTCCTCTGCTTGATGCCAATGATTTGACTCTTCTCCAACAGACCGACATCTTTTCCACGACCACCATGAGTCTTTGATATGGTTGTTGAAGAAATGAGAAGCAACTCATTGCACCAGTTGGGGTTAAAGAACTTGTTGCAGCTGAAACATAATCGTACATGCAGTGATGATCCAACCGGAGGCTTAGACCTGTTATCCAGGTGGAGACTTTTTGTTGGCCAGGCAGTGTGTTTAATCATTTCTTTCTGGTTTACATGAGCATTCTTACCTTAAGAAACTCTTTGTTGTCCACTTGCTCATTGCCGTCTACATCAAGCATCTTGAAGGCTATATGAAATCCTGTACGGGGCTCTGCAGAACAAACACATTTAGGAAACCACAGCTTACTCTGCAAACCTGCTTACTGTAGCAAAAACGATTACCGTAACTGCCGGTGTACAAGACGCTACTTTTTCCTCACACCCCGCGGTTTATATGCAGGAGCGTCTTATTTATGTAATTTTTCATAATTTTCTTATTTTATTCTGAAGGACTTCCTGCCACTGACAAACATTTTCCTTTGACAGAGCTGGTCGCTTGTGGCTCCAGCACCCCGCCCCTCATAGGAGCAGCCATTTGTGACACAGAGAGAATGCCCTAAGGCACAGGAGTCAAAGTCCAGGCCTCAAGGGCCGGAGTCCTGCAACTTTTAGATGTGTCTCTGATGCCACACAGCTGAATCAAATAAGGAGGTCATTAGCAGGACTTGGGAGAACTTGACTGCACTGAGAAGCTAATTCAGTCATATGATTCAGCGGTGTGGCATCAGAGACACATCTACAAGTTGCAGGACTCTGGCCCTCAAGGCCTGGAGTTTGACACCTCTGCGAGATGTACAAGTCCTTTTGCTCAGGTTTCAAATACCCAACCATAACTCCACCCACTCTCATCATGTGACCAGAAGTCTAACCTGAATGCCCAACGAGGTACTCTCGAGGACCGTCCCCCAAGATAGACGTGCATTCATTTCTTCAGATCGTTCCCGTGTTGTTTATTGTACTTTGCGCTTCGTGCACAGACCTGTTCATTTGCTTGGTGATAATGGCAAACGCACGGAGAATTTCTTACGACGCACAGCTTTCATGTTGCAAGCGATCGGCTGTCAAGGAGGAAAAGGCTGCAGCCCCCAAGCTGCATCATGTCCATGCTCAGGATTGGAGACAAAAGCAGTCAAGTCTGGTACGTGTTTTAATAAAAGTTTTACATTCTTTCTGTGTCGGTACACATGCATTTAAGTACCGGGATCTGACTGAAGCTTAAACAGGGACATTGAACAGAGCGGCGGAGACAACGGAGGGGGAAAAAGAAAAGAACGGGGAGGGATGAGCTGATATAGGAGAATCACATCAAATTGATTTAGAAAGTCCATTTAAAAACAGCCGTTGTTAACTAAATGAATATTTACCACATTCTACTGGTACTATTTGACTTCCGGTCACATGACCTAGATAAGACTGGGTTTTACCTGTAGATAATTTTTAAATAATTTCAGTTACGTAGGTGTTTGGCTCTGTTCTGTCCAGTGATTATACTTAGAGAGTTGTGTTCTTTCTGAAGGTATGATGTTTGTAACCATGAGTCACAGTGAAGCTTCATGGTGACTCCTGATGATCTTGCAGTCTGAGAGTGTGTTGAAAGCAAGCTATCTTCTGTGAAGCTCCACCTGCTGGCTGGTTCTTGTACTACAAGAAAGCTGCACATTATGCTGGAGCAGGGTGGGGGCACAGTTCCTGACGATGAACGGTGGATGTCTGCGGCTAATTAACCGGAGCGTCTTATTCATGATTCATCTTATATTTAATAAGTGCGGCTTAGAGACAGGTGCGTTTTAACAATTACGGTAAGCAAAGCAAGGCTCTTCTTCATGCACCGTCTGCATCTACATGTAGAAGTTCACACACAGAAGCACGGCACAGAGTCCAGCCCAAACCTCACAGAGCAGATCATGGAAGCACAGGGATTTAAGCAGGAGCTTACTGGTTAGGATGGTCAGCAAGAACAGATACTCTGTGTAGGATATCAGACCTGCAAAACAAACAAATATTCTCAACTCTACTCTGAAATTTAAACAAAAAAGTGACTAAATAGAAAGTAATCGTCTGCAAACAGGAAAATGTGAATTTATAGATTTTCACAGAAACGTCAGGTTCAGCGAGCTCACCTTTGTCTCCCAAGGTTCTGAAAAGATCAGTGCTGGGCCGGGCTGTGGAGGCAGCAGCCAACATGTTGTTCACCTCCTGACAGGAACACATACCAGTTATTAATCTCAACTGAACGTTCAGTTCTCAGACGGTGAAGGAGCAAACGTACCTGCGGTGTTAAATGCTTTTTCTGTAGCTTTCCTAAAGGAAACCAGAGAGGACATGACAAAACATAAGGGCCAGTTTCACAGTCAGAACTTCAATAAAACCAGGACTAAATTAATCTTGTTTAACTTAATCCACCCTAATCCAGTTGCTTTCTGAGATGCTGTTTAACTTCAGATTAACTCATTCCAGACTAGAGTCTCTGACCAAGGACCAGTCAGAGCATGTGTTGGAAGCTGAATCAGATTAACGATGTGCACAGGTGCACAGGTGAGGTATCTCTGAAAACCTGGGGTGGATTTTTCCTGTTATAAGTTTTAGCAGTCTATGTGCACGGAGCAGGAGTTTGACTTCTGACCAAGCATGGACATTGGAAAAAGAAAGTGTTCAAAAAACTTCAGTGAAAGTGAGAAGATGCTTTTGAAGGAAATTATTTTAAAATATCCCATAATTGAGGATAAACATCATGATTCATCCACAGAAACAAAAAAACAAAACTGGACTGAAACTGTGAATGAATATAAGTCAAATAAAAAAGTTTCCAACAGGAGGACCCTCCAACAGATTCAGGTCAGATTTAATCATCACGTTTATCCCGACTGTTCTAATCTGCCACGATGAAATGTAGGCTTGCTCAAAGGCAGTTCCTCATCCACAGAAGTGCAGCTCGTAGGTTGTGATGAACTTGAGGTTTCTCACTTTTCTCACGGCTCATTCACTCAAACCTCCACATGAAGAACATCTCAACGTGATCAGAACTTGTAATGAAGGAGCTCTAGGAGTTCCTCTGACTGAGTCACATGACCTGTTTGTCTGAAGCACTAATTGTTTCAGCTGCTGTTTCTGTACGAAAACTGTGTCATCAAATCCATTCAGCAGGTTACTGGTCTCTGAGAAACCTTTCTGGTCTTGGTGGTGGTCTCCCAGCATCATTGATGTAGTCCAGATGATCCATTTTGCCCATCCACAGTGAAGCATACAACCTCTACTCTGAAATTAAACTGCCTCTGGCCAGGATTCATTTAAGTCTTCATTTAGACCTGGATTAGTTCTAGTCCTCCTTCAAGACAGAAGATTATTTAACTCAAGACCAGGACAAGTCTGGGACTACTATAATCCATATCTAAGAAAGCTCTTTCAAGAAGTCCTGCTTTAAAATGTGATTTAATCTACACCTACGGCCTAATTCCTGTACGCGAAACTGGGCCAAAAGCTTTGTAACAGAAATGAAAAATAAATTAAAAACTGTACAATTTATTTTCATGCATTTTGTTTATGAAAATGAGATTTTGTAGACATTTGTCAAAGTCCTCAAAGTTTTTGCCCCCTTAGTTCAAACATGATGGAATCAGCCAGGATAAGAAGGGTTAGGTGTGGCTTGTTAAAAAATAAAACTAAAATTAAAACCACAGCATTACTGCATTAAGACATATATTTCCACCAAAACAATGATCCTACGTTTTGTAGCATACTTATATAAAAATATTAATAGAGTTGACTAAATCTCATGAGAAATGATCACATTCACACCATGAACAGGGCCGAGTACCTTTCCAACAAAATCGGTGTCAGTTCCTGGACGGTTCTTTTTTCGGTACCAATTTTATAATTACTATTAATTCTAACAAGAATAAAATTATGTTACACATTACAGTACAAATTGTGAATTTTATTTTTTAACTTTGGTATTTCCGTTCCAAACAGTTTTCTTACATAAAAATAAACAAATAATTTCCAGTTCGAAAGACCAGTTTCAAACCAGTGACAGGTCAGTGTCTAATGTTCACTGCTTCACACTGAGGACCTTTTCACTGAACAGTTCTTCTTCAGAAACATCGACGTGTCTGTTCTCTCTGGACACAAACCAGCTGCTCCTGGCTGATGGTGTCTCCAGCAGTAGAAGATGTTCACTCTGAGGCTGTAGATGATGCTTGTTGCACACACAGATACCTGGTTGTCAGTTTGACATATTGTCCCTCACATCCCACCAGCAGGTCACTGGATTCACTGAGGTAGAGTTGATGCAGACTTCTGCTCCTCTGTGTCTCTGCCTGAATCTTCTCTGGGGTTTAGGGCTCTGATCATCTCCCTAACTGACATGAGAACAAAACATCAACAATAACATGGTTGTGTTCTTATTGATCAAAAAACATTATCTAGGCTGAGAGATACTGGTTTAACTGGTCAACAACATCCTTTACAGCTTAACTTACCTCCACCATGCAGCCTCCACTGTAGAAAAAACAGCAAACTTAACAACAGTTTGATTGTCCTGTGGCCCCCACCTCACTTTTCTTTTGTCTGTCTCTGTCCTCACATCAGGGTCAGAACCTCCTGTGAGGAGAACATTAACATTAATGAACTGTTTAAGCAGCTGATCCGATGGATGAGCACAGTTTTAGAAGCTAAGCTTCATCTGCTACTGTCAATCTTTAGTTAGCTTCTGAGTTTAGCTACGTAGATAAAATAAATTTACACACTAATATGTTAAAGTTAGCGTTACATGGATTCTAGTTTAATTCACCACGATGCACGTGTTAAGCTGCAGTAACGTTAACAAACGTAAACTTACCAGCTGAAACTCAGACACAGCTCCGTCCTCGGAGTTCTTTGATGAAGAGGAGTCCGGTCGTGGACATGATGAATCAGGACGTTCAACACTCACAGACTGACTCACGCTGAGAGGAGGAGGAGGGAGGCTGCCGTCTGTCCGTCTTCTTACAGAGAAATACAGAGTGCTGCACACGTGAACCCCGTCTGTGGGCGTCACCAGCACCATAGACATACAAGCTGTAGGGCAGCTCTATACAGCTCTGGGTGTATTAAACATGTAGTCTGTTTGTCATATGTCTGCGTTTTACTTGCCTGCATGCAGAAACCATGTGACATGTTACAGCCAATACTGAAACTTGACACCGAAAGAAGAGTGACGTTTGAATCCATAGATATAAACACTAGATCCAGCATTGACCACTATCACCTATTGGCGCTGACGAGCCGTAGAGCCGCCATCTTGGAACGGTTGCCTGCTCCACTCAGTGTGACCTGTTTGTCAGGAGCAATGAAGTATCTGTGGTTTAGTCAGTCATAGCTGAATACTAAACTCATTAAACTGTCCAGATGACCTGACTGAAAAATGTTGGATTGTATACCTGGATTATTGAGCATGAACTTTGTTGTTTCAACCAGTTTGACAAGACTGTCAACAAGGAAGAGGGCCGGCAATGGAGGAGGGGCGTACCAAAGAGACCATCTTATCACAAGCAGAACTGGTTTGTTCCACTTTGGAGTAAGCTGTTGGGGGAAGAATCAGTTTTGTTGTGTGTTTCCTTGACTGATGAAGCCTTCTGGATGGAAGGTGAAACGTTGCAGCACAAAAAAAGAAACTGTCCAGATGACCTGACTGAAAAATGTTGGATTGTATACCTGGATTATTGAGCATGGACTTTGTTACTAAACTCATTCTCACCATTTTTTCCTCAGTAAATCTTTGACGTACAGACATTAAAGCTGGTTCAGTGTTTTTAAATATTCTTGGTGGGGTTAACATTAACACTAATAAAATATTCTTATGACAAGTTTTGTTAAACTCACAGTCACTGATACATTTTTAATAATATCTAGATTATATATATATATATATATATATATATATATATATATATATATATATATATACACACATTGTCTAGATCACTGTCATATAACCCTCTCAGTTTTCAAGTCCCGTTTAAAAACTCACTACTATTCAGTAGCTTTCAACACCAGATGATCTGTGTTTTGATCCTGTATGCTCCACACTGGTTAGTCGTTATTATCTGCATCGTTTTTATGTCTATATTCTGATTTACCTCATTTTGTATTTTGCTTTGTGTGTTACCTGTTGTTCTGTCTGTACAGCACTTTGGTTGGCCTTGTTGCTGTTTTAAGTGCTCTATAAATAAAGTGGTATGGTATGGTATATACACACACATGCACGCACACACACACACACACAGTATAATATCACAATCTTATATGTACATTATATTTATTTTATATATACACATCTCATGTATGTGTATATATATTAGGGAGGCACCGATCCACTTTTTTTCCTTCCGATCCCGATACCTAGATCTGAATATCGACCGATACCGATCCAGTTCCGATATCATGATCGTTGATTTTATATGAGGCTGTAATAATCTCCTCTCAAGTACAATTTGTACAAATATATGCATGCATGTCCAAAAAGGCAACTTGAGGTAAGTTTTATTAATGTTGGATAAGTTTTAAAGTTAGAATTAAATACTGCTAACACAAAACATGTTTCTTTTTATTCCTAGTTTTAAAGTGGATATTAAAGTGATTAATTTAAGTGATTGTTTAAAGTTATTTTATATTTTTTTTAAATAAGGGTCAGATATAAGAATTTTATTCTTCTTTCTGCACTCTTTTCATTCAATGTTTTCTTTTTGATGATTTTTATTTTTTTTATTTTGTTTCATTTAAATGAATGAATAAATGAATTAAATTAAATAAAATGTTAAATGTCTTTAAACATCTGCTAAGTTCATGGCATAAACCAACAGACATGTTCCTGTTTTTAGTATTTTACATCACTTTATAATGTAGCTGTTTTTGTTTTTAATATAATTTTCAAATCATGTTTTTTTTATTTTTTATGATTGTCTCCTGTTGTACTGATAAATATCTCCTGGAGGGTAAACTGTATCTTGGCTGCAAGTATCAAACTGTGAAATCCTTCATTTTCTACAACTGATAGTGGTTGGTCATTAATGATGATGAAGTTTAGCAACTTCTCTGTAAACATTAGAGCTCCGTGGTTTCAGCGACGTCTTCTTCTTGTTCAGTCCGAAGCAGGCAGTCTGATCTCGGTCAGCCCCGCTCAGTCTGTCCCTCCTCAGAGACGAGCAGACTGAGCGGGGCAGATTGGACGTGGCTGGCCGGGGTCGAGCTGCTTGTTTCAGGTTGAGCAAAGAGCAGCGCCCGCTGAAGCCACGGAGCTCGAATGTCCAACATAAAACTAACTTT